GGGAACGGGGTAAAGCCACGGAAGTTCGCACCTTGTGCTCGGGGAGGAGCCTGGTCTCTTCAGCTCGTGCTGGTGACCTGGAATCTGTGAGTAGGACCCCCTCCCACTTTGCTGAGAGGTTTGTTTTTTTGTTTTTCTTTACATCCAATAAATTCCCCTCTATTCACCCTTCAATGTGTCCACACACCTAATCTTTCCTGGCCACGTGACAAGAGCCCAGTTTTAGCTGAGCTAAGGAGCAAAAATTCTGCCATACAGCCATCATCATTTCTTGCCTGGATTGTTGCTATAGCTTTCTAAATGAACTTTCCGCTCCTACCAATGCCTCCATACAGACTCTTCTCAGCAAAGCAGAGAGGGTTATCCTCTTAAAATGTAAGATCATGTTACTCTTTTGCTTAAAACCCTGTCATGACTTTCCATTTCACTCAGAGAAAAAGCCAAAGTCCCCTACAGTGGCCTTTAAGGCCCAGTGTGACCCAGCCATCTACAACCTCTCTGACTTGTCCTACTCCCGGCCAGGCTCCTCCTCTGCCATCCCCTGACCTCCTGACTAGCCTATTAGGCATATCCCCAGTTAGGGGATTCTCCCTGAGTATTCTCTGATCTAAGAGCTCTGTCTTTACGTGTTCGCAAATACCACCTTCTCAGTGGGACCTACACCCATGGCCCTGTTGTACATCACAGACCACACAACTCACCCCCCCGATAGGAACCCACCCATTCCCTCTTACAATGCTATCCTTTGTCTTTTCTTTCTGTTTTTGGCACCAATTACCTTCTAACATAATATATGATTTTCTCTTTTTTGTTTTTGAGTCGGGGTCTTCTTCTGTTGCCCAGGCTGCAGTATAGTGGCATGATCACAGCTCACTGAAGCCTTGAGCTCCTAGGCTCAACCAATCCTCCCACTTTAGCCTCCCAAGTAGCTAGGTATGCACCACCACACATGCCTAATTTAAAAAAATTTTTTAATAGAAAAAGGGGGTCTTGCTATGTTGCCCAGGCTGCTCTTGAACTCCTGGCCTTAAGCAGTCCTGCCTGCCTGAGCCTCCTGAGTCCCTGGAATTACAGGTGTGAGCTACCATCCCAGCTTATATTATTTTCTTATAATAACATCTGCTTATTGTTTATTTATTTTCTGGCTTCCTCAGTAAGCTCCAAGAGGTCAAGGATTTTTGTTGGATTTGTTCATGGATATAGGCCAAGCTATTGTAACAATGCCCAGTACATGGAGGTGCTCGATAAATACTTACTGGGTAAATAATAAATACAGATGAAAAACAAAGGCCAAAATAGACAAGAAGGCACTTGGAAGAAATAGAAATGTGACAGAGAATTTTTTAAAATTATAATTAAAATCCTCAAATATAAGAGAATAAACTGCATCATTGAAATAAAAAAAGTGATGGTTTAACATCAGCACCAACAATTAAAAAGAAAATCAGAGAATAAAATATGTTATTGGAAAGTAAAATTATGACATCTGAAATTTCAGTAAGAAGTTAGAAGTTGAGGAACCTGTGAAAGAACAAAAATCCAAAAATATGAAAACCTGAAGATGAAAGAAAACTAGAGGATCAGTCCGAGAGGTTAACACACAATTAGTATGTATTTTAAGAATAAAAGAATAGAGAAAACAAAGGAGAGGAAATTTGGGGGGAAAATAATATTAAAAACTATTCTGGGCCAGGAGTAGTGGCTCATACCTCTAGTCCCAGCACTTTGGGAGGCTGAGGTGGGTGGATCACCTGAGGCCAGGAGTTCAAGACCAGCCTGGCCAACACAGTGAAACCCCGTCTGTACTAAAAATACAAAAAAATTAGCTGGGCATGGTGGTGGGCACCTGTAATCCAAGCTACTTGGGAGGCTGAGGCAGGAGAATCACTTGAACCCGGGAGGCGAAGCTTGCAGTGAGCCGAGATCATGCCATTGCGCTCCGGCCTGGGCAACAAAAGCAAAACTCCATCTCAAGAAAAAAAAAAAAATAAAGAAACATATGTGTAAACAAGCCATCACTCAACAGTGAGGCAAGATAAAGTAGCGTTCAGATATGTGAAGTCTCAAAACTTTACCAAACATTTGCCCTCTCTCAGGAAGCTTCTGAAGGGCATGCTCCACCAAAATAAGAAAGCAAGCCAATAAATAGGAAAACAGGAGGTCCAGGAAATCCAAATTAGGCGAGTATAAGGGAAATTTCTAGGATGGTGACAGGAAGTCCCAGGATAGCAGCTGTGCAGCAAGCCCCAAGAGCATCCCGCAGTTCGGAGCGAAAAGAGAACTCAGGCAGAAATGACTCCAAGACAGAAAAACGTATTACTAGATTACCTCATGCATTTGAATTTAACAAAAGGAGATTTCAGTTCTGCAGAAGATTTGAGAATGAAACTAAGTAAGCAAAGAAATAGAGACAATTATTAACCCTAGGGGAAAAAAATTGCACAGAAAGGAAATGTAACCACTGTATACTATTTGCCTCTGCTTTCAACATTATTTACTTAATCACAATAATATAAACGTTGGCTATTGGTTTACCTCAACAGAGTGATATAATGTAACTGGAAGGATAAGGTAAGGAAAAGAGGAAGGAGCATGAAATTCTTTCTTCCATAAAAAGAAGCCAGCTGACAATGTCTAAAATTTGTGAATCAATAAATAGTGAAAGTATAATGTTTAGAAACACAGAAGTAAATACCCATAGCAGTAGTCAAAAGGGGTTATCTGTAGCGATAGACAGAGGGTGAGAGGAGGTAGGGACAAGGAAGAGTTATTTATTGTCATAAAAACCTGTAATCCCACTTTATTTTCAGATCACGTACTTGTCTTACTCTGATAAAAATAAACATTAATTTTGAGGTGTGGGACATGCTGGCTCCAAACCAATACTTTCCACTTGACATAACCATCAGGATTCAAAGATAATTGAAATGAGAATGACTTCTCATCATGTAGTTCAATGTTATTTAAAACCAAGTCTATACACCTCTTACAATTATCTTGTGTACCCTCAGTGGTATTCACCCCACACTTTCAAGCCTAGGGAGTCGTCTGAAAAACCCTCCGTGGAGCAAGTGGGTAATCAAGAGACCAATGCTATCATCTCAAGGACCATGACCTGCCAAAATTGATTCAAGATGTAATAAAAAGCCTGACTAGTCCAATCATCATTAAAGAATGCAAATCCTATCATTTAAAAATTTTCCACAAGAAAAACATCAGGCCCGGATTATTTTAAGGCAAGTTCTACACAACCTTGAAGGAACACACTCTTCCAATATTATTAAAATTCTCTGAGAAAATAGAACAGGATGCTTCCTCCAACTCATTTGAGACTAGGTTCATCCATAGCAAAATGAGACAAGAGCAATACAAGAAAGGCAAAGTATAGGCCAATCTCACTCATAAATATGAAGGAAAAATCCCAAGATATTAACAAAATGACATATCAGTAGTGAAGCATGAAATGTTTTTTAAAGCACCTATTTTGGGGGATGAAACATAAAGGAAGCCCTAGTGTCTTGCAGCAGGCAAGTTCACGGTGTTTATGGTGGAACATTCTGTGTGGGTCTGAAAAAACAAGGAGGACAAGCTGATCAAAAACATGGCACATCCGTGTGAGCTGGAAAGCTTTCTCATTCTTACAGGTATCTGGCTTTAAGAAATGGTTCATGGAGAAACCAGTAGAAGATTAATACTGATCTACCTCTGTTTTGAAATAAGGAAGAAAGAATAAAAATAGAAAATTGTGGCGTAACTAATCAACTTCAGACTATTGCGATCTCACAAGGCTCCAGGGGGCCTCTTTGACCCAGCGACCATGCTTGGGAGACACGGCGGTCCCTCCTGAGATCCCAGCCTTTTCTGCAAATATGCCCTGCTGAATTGGTCATAGATGAGGGCAGAGACTTCGAGCACTGAACCCTTTAAACTTTATGGATTCTGAGAAGGGTCTTGGCTGTGAAGAGTGACTTGTTATAACTAGATGTTGCACATGAACTTAGTCTTCTCCATACCCCTTCCCCCTAGTCAGGAATTCTATCTCTATGGCAGGCACAGAGTCATGAAGGGTGGAAGAAGCATTACTTACTGTGCCCGAAATACTCTCTCAAACTCTGGTGATCCAGTGACTGCTGGGGGCGTAACTTTGTACTTTAATCTTGCCTTTCCAACTTGCAAAGCAAAATAACCTGCAAGTAAAGGGAAATGTTGTGTTAAAGATGGGGCACATCATTATCATCAGTGAAATGCAAATTTAAATCACGATTAGATAGTACTACATACCTATTAGAATGTCTAAAATTAAAAAGACAGATGATATCAATTAAAAAAGGCAGGAGATGATATGAGAGCAATTGGAACCCTCATACTCTGCTGGTGGGAATGTAAAATGGTCCAACCACTTTGAAAAACAGTTTGGAAGGGAGCCTTTTAGTTAGACATACCACAAATGTATAACCCAGTCATTCCACTCATAGGTATTTCCCTAAGAGAAATGAAACCCTATGTCCATGCGGTAGGAGCCAAAGTCCTTGGCCCTGAGGAGGTTCAGTGAAAATCACTGACATGAGGCAGATTAATTAACAGAAGTTAAATCACACACATTTATTTCATATGTATACATATGAGCCTTCAGAACAAAGACCCAGCCCCACAGTGAGGTACAGCAGTTCATATGCCAACTTTTTTTTTTTTTTTTCCCCGAGACAGAGTCTTGCTCTGTCACTTAGGCTGGAGTGCGGTAGTGTGATCTTGGCTCACTGCAACCTCCATCTCTCGGTGATTCCCCTGCCTCAGCCTCCCAGGTAGCTGGAATTACAGGTGTGCCACCACGCCCAGTTAATTTTTTCATTTTTAGTAGAGATGGGATTTCACATGTTGGCCAGGCTGGTCTTAAACTCCTAACCTAAGGTGATCCACCCACCTTGGCCTCCCAAAGTGCTGGGATTACAAGTGTAAGCCACCGTGACCGGCCCCATATGTTGTTCTAGGGTCACAGAAATATGAAAGGAAAATAAATCTCAGGACCTCAAAATCACTAAGCCAAGTGAAAAGTCAAGCTGAGAACTACAGCAGGCAAACTTGTATCCCATTTTACTTCCTAAATAAGATAACTACCAAGCACAATTTGCCCACAAGGAAAAGCTTATCTTCACAGGTGCTGGGCAGAAAGTTATCCCTCTGCTCACCTGAGACAAACACATATCTGATTGCTTCCTCTGCCCTATTGTTTACGTAAAAATGCAGATTCACTGAGCCAGACTAAATTGTGTATTCAGTGAAAGGCTTATCAAGGACTCAAAAGAATGCAGCCTTTATCTCCTCTCTGCCTATGACCTGGAAGCCCCTGCTTTGAGTTGTCCTGCCTTACCTGGACCAAACCAATGTACATCTTACACATATTGATTGATGTCTCATATCCCTCTAAAATGTATAGAAGCAAGCCATACCCTGACCACCTTGGGCACACGTCATCAGGACTTCCTGAGGCCGTGTCACAGGCATATCCTTAACCTTGACAAAGTAAACTTTCTAAATTGATTGAGACCTATCAGATATTTTGGGTTCACAGAAACAATATAGGCTCAGAGCACGGCCGAGGAAAGCAGCTTACGAGGCCGAGAGCAGTGGCTCACGCCTGTCATCCCAGCACTTTGGAAGCCCAAGGGGGCGGATCACTTGAGGTTAGGAGTTGAAGACCAGCCTGGTCAACATGGTGAAACCCCATCTCTACTAAAATACAAAAAATTAGCCAGACATGTTGGCACACACCTGTAGTCCTAGCTATTTGAGAGGCTGAGGGAGGAGAATTGCTTGAACTCTGGAGGCAGAGATTGCAGTGAGCCAAGATTGCGCCATTGCACTCCAGCCTGGGTGACATAGCAAGACTCCATCGCAAAAAAAAAAAAAAAAAAGAAAAACAAAAACAAAGCTTATGGTGGTAAGTCAGGTTTTAGTGGCAAGACAGGATATGGGAGGGGAAGAAGAGGAGGCTCAGCTAGCAAAGGGGATCATGTTATATAGATGAAATCTCACAGATAGCAGCTCTCAGAGAAAATAGATGGTAAGTGTTTCTTCCAGATCTTTACAGTGGTCAGACTCCATTATTTTCCCCCAGATCTGGACAAGGGAAGGCCTGGCTGCATTTATGGAGATTCTCCACAATGCACAGTTTCCCCAGAAAAGACAGCTTTGCAGCGCCACTTCAGACTGTCGAAGAAATATATCTTGGAGTAAAATATTTTTATTTCCTTCAGTACAAAGAATTGTACACAAATATGCACAGCAGCTTTATTTGTAATAGCCAAAATCTAGGAACAACTCTGTGATGGCTAATTTTATGCATCAACTTGGCTAGCATATGGCGCCTAGTTGTTTGGTCAAACACCAGCCGAGATGTTGCTGTGAAGGTACTTTTTAGATGTGATTAATATTGAAATCAACTGACTTCGAGTAAAGCAGATGATCCTACTTAATGTGGATGGGCCTCATCCAATCAGTTGAAGGCCCTAAGAGGTAAGACTGAGCTCCCCCAAAGAGAAAGGACTTCTGCCTCCAGACTGCCTTCAACTCCAGATTGTAACATCAACTTTTGCCTACCAGCCTTTCCTGCAGACTTAAGACTTGCCAGCCCCCACAATTGTGTGAGCCAATTCCTTAAAATAATTCTCCATGTGCATGTCTATGTGTGAGTGTGTGTATTGATTCTGTTTCTCTGGAGAACCCTGACTCATATGAGTGTCCATCAACAAGTGAGTAGATAAATAAATCATGATATAGCCCTACAATCGGATACTACTTAACGGTAAGAAAAAGGAATAAATGATTGATATCCTCAAAAAATGAGTGAATCTCAAAATAATTATGCTGAATGAAAGCAAGGATTTTTTTTTTTAAAAAAAAAAAAGAGTACTACTGTATATTTCACTTATATAAAATTCTTTTTTTTTTTTTTTGAGACAGTCTTGCTCTGTCGCCAGGCGCCAGGCTGGAGTGCAGTGGCGCAATCTCGGCTCACTGTAACCTCCACCTCCTAGGTTCAAGCAATTTTCCTGCCTCAGCCTCCCGAGTAGCTGGGACTATAGGCTCATGCCACCACGCCCAGCTAATTTTTGTATTTTTTAGTAGAGACAAGGTTTCACCCTGTTGGCCCAGATGGTCTCGATTTCTTGACCTTGTGATCTGCCTGCCTCGGCCTCCCAAATTGCTGGGATTACAGGCATGAGCCACGACGCCCGGCTCACTTGTATAAAATTCTCAAAATGCTAATGAATCTACAGTGACATAAACATTGCCTGGAGATGAGGAGGCCAGGAGGGAGGGGCCCCTAAAGGGAGCAAAGACCATCTTGTGGCCATGAAGCAGACCATCCAGAGGCAGAACTCTTTATCTGAGGTGTTTAGGAGTAATTAGACTTCCCTATATCTAAAGCCAGTCCAGGCTTCTTTCCCCAAAATTTATATGTAACTAGAATTGCTCTACATCTATACATCTCCAGGATGCATGCATGATGAAGCTCATTGTACAATTTGCTGACATTAAAACACCAAAATGTCTACCAATGTAATCATTTATCATGATATATGTGGCTAAGATGGTCCAAATTACCATTAAGCTCTTGCTTTAAGATCCATAAATACCCCTAGGGAAAATCCTCGCCGGCACACTCCATCCTCTTGCTGAGGCGCCCCGTTGCACTCTTCTGCAGCTTTCTCTCAATCTAATAAAACTTTCCTTTTCAAACCTATACTGTTGTTGGTAAATTCTTATTCCCTGCGGGCCAATCACTTTCCATTGCTAGGGCTCTGACACCCTGCCCAGCAGGTACAAGAAAACTTCTGGGGATGATGGCTCCCTGCCTGTCTAAGTTTCCCTGTTATAAAACAGTATGACTTTCTACTCCTTCACTTCATTAGATAATCAGTTCTGATGCCTGAGACCACCTTCACCTTGTGATGAGTTCTGTGGACTTCTTTCACTTTCACATCCACACTTCTACCTGTGTCGGTTTTTGAACCATCAGTAGGTCTTGCCTCCTGTCCTTAACTCCCACTTTTCACTCCACAATAAACTGGCATTGAGACAGAGGAAGGAACACTCTTAGGAGCCTGCCAGCCCCCTCAAGCATCAAAATAAAGAAAAACTCAAGTTCCTTCAAGGGAAATTCCAGGCACCTTGCTAGCCTTCAGACCCGCTAAATGAGAAGGTAATAATAGTTTAAGTAATAGTCACCCAAATAAGATAGAGTTATAAAATGTTCAGTTCCCTATAGAAACTCAAGAAAACATCTTAACATAGGTTCTAGAGTTGTTTCTCAGAAACCAGGACCCCTACCCAGATAGAAAATGCTGACCACTGTGAGGACTGAATTCTGACCACTATTCCCCATTCTAAATTTCCTCCTGAGGGGCCTGCAGAGAATCACACATACAGGTTAAACCTTGTGAAAGGAAAATAAATCTTGGGACCCCCAAATCACTAAGCCAAAGGGAAAAGTCAAGCTGGGAACTGCACTGGACAAAATAGCTACAAAGATTTTTTTTTTTTTTTTAAGACAGTTTCACTTTATTGCCCAGGCTGGAGTGCAGTGGTGAAATCCCAGCTCACTGCCACCTCTGCCTCCCAGGTTCAAGCAATTTTCCTGCCTCAGCTTCCGGAATAGCTGGGATTACAGGCATGTGCCACAATACCCAGCTAATATTTTGTATTTTTAGTAGAGCTAGGGTTTCACCATGTTGGCTAGGCTGGTCTTGAATTCCTGACCTCAAGTGATCTGCCCACCTTGGCCTCTCAAAGCACTGGGATTACAGGTGTGAGCCACTGCACCCGGCCCCAGCATAAAAAAAAAAAAAAAAAAAAAAAAAAAAGCTACATATCTCCCTCACAAGTTACCCACAAGGAAATTCCTTGTGGACAAAGGACAGAGAGAACTCAAAGTGATTCCTCTGCTCACTTACGTACATATTTGATTGCTACCTTTGATTCAGTAAAAGGCTAATCAGAAACTCAAAAGAAGTCTCCTATCTACCTATGACCTGATGCCCCTCCCCACTTTGAGTTGTCTTGCCTTTCCGGACTGAGCCAATGTACATCTGACATATATGGATTGATGTCCCATGCCTCCCTAAAGTGTGTAAAACCAGGCTGTGCCCTGACCACCTCGGGCACCTGTTGTCAGGAGCCCCCAGGC